CACGTTTTGTTTTTTTAAATTAGGTAGGTATGGTGGCACACACATATGCTCTGGCTACTCAGGAGGATGGATTAAGCCCTGGTATTTGAGACTTCAGTGAGCCATGATCATGCTACTGCACTCCAGCCTGAGCAACAAAGCAAGACATCATCTGTAAAAATAGTAATAATTATAATATGTTTCCAAGTATAGGCAAGTTCAATCTTGTTAATAAAAATCAGAAAATATTTAACATTGCATAAGGTGAAGATAAGTGGAAAAACACTTCATTATAGGATTTGATAGGCCAGTTGTGGTGGCTCTCACTTATAATCTAGCATTCTGGAAGGACGAAGCAGGAAGATCAGTTGAGCTAAGGAGTTTGAGACTGGCCTGAGCAAGAGCACAACCCTGTCTCTACTAAAAATAGAAAAACTGGCTCAGTGCCTGTGGCTCAAGCAGCTAAGGCGCCAGCCACATACACCTGAGCTGGTGGGTTCCAATCCAGCCCGGGCCGCCAAACAACGATGGCTGCAACCAAAAAAATGGCCAGGCGTTGTGGTGGGCGCCTGTAGTCCCAGCTACTTGGGAGGCTGAGGCAAGAGAATCGCTTGAGCCTAGGAGTTGGAGGTTACTGTGAACTGTGATGCCATGGCACTCTACCCAGGGCGACAGCTTGAGGCTTTGTCTCAAAAAAAATAAATAAATAAAAATAGAAAACTAGCCAAGTATTCTAGTTGGTGCCTGTAGTCCCAGCTACTTGGGAGGCTGAGGCAAGAGAATTGCTTGAGTCCAAGAGTTTGAGGTTGCTGTGAGCTATGATGCTGGGGCACTCTACTGAGGGTGTCAAAGTGAGACTGTCTCAAAAAAAAATTTTTTTTTTATCCATTATTAGGCCTGGAAAATACTCAAGTTGTTTTTAAAATAAAGTCATGGCTCGGCGCCTGTGGCTCAAGCGGCTAAGGCACCAGCCACGTACACCTAAGGTGGCGGATTCAAATCCCCAGCCCGGGCCCGCCAAACAACAATGATGGCTGCAACCAAAAAATGGCCAGGCGTTGTGGTGGGCGCCTGTAGTCCCAGCTACTTGGGAGGCTGAGGCAGGAGACTCACTTGAGCCCAGGAGTTGGAGGTTGCTGTGAGCATGATGCCATGGTACTCTACCCAGGGGGATAGCTTGACGCTCCATCTCAAAAAAAAACAAAAAAAACAAAGTCACTTATTTATATGGAACCTTCTGTTTAGAATTCAGAATTGTTCAACATAGACCAAAATGTCCTGTTTCTAAATTTGTAGGTCAGCCCTCACAAAAATATGTATTAAATGAGGGACATTTTGCAAGGTTTGAGGATCCTTCATTAATCATTATAGAATTCAGGTTTGAGGATCCATTATTAATCATTATTTATTTATTCCTTTATTTGGCACCCACATAAATTTTATGCCTGGGTAATGAATCATACTAAGGGGTCAAAGTAAGCCTTTTGGCTAAGCACCTGTACCTCAGTGGGCTGTACCCACCAGTCCCCACCAGTCCCTAGCCATGTGCACTGGGGCTGGTGGGTTCCAACCCAGCTTGGGCCTGCTAAACAACAACAACAACAAAAAAACCCAGGTGTTGTGGCGGGCACCTGTAGTCCCAGCTACTTGGGAGGCTGAGGCAAGAGAATCACTTAAGCCTAAGAGTTTGAGGTTGCTATGAGTTATGATGCCACGGCACTCTACCAAGGGTGACGTAGTAAGACTCTGTCTTAAAAGAAAAAAACAAAAACAAAGTAAGCCTTTCTTTTATAAAATGTACTGTTCTTAGGTATATTAATTTTAGAAAAGAATGATTTGAGGAATTTGAGAAGCTAGAAATTGATTCTCTTTAATAAATCTGTCCAAAGCAAAACTAAGCTTCAGGGTCAGACGTCAGGATGTCACTTCTGGTGTAGGGTGAGGGATATTACTGAAGTCCATTACTTTTTCCCCCTAAACATCTCATGGATCTGGTCATGTCTCTGAATTTCCATGGATACCATCCTGGACATGTACTTTCAATTCTACATGACTATAGTCTCTGAATTGATCTCCCTACATTCATTCTTTTTGTTCCTCTAATTACCTCATCCATTTATCTTACTATATTTCTTTTTTTTTTTTGAGACAGTCTCACTTTGTTGTCCTTGGTAGAGTGCCATGGTGTCATAGCTCACAGCAACCTCAAACTCTTGGGCTCAAGTGATTCTCTTGCCTCAGCCTCTTGAGTAGCTGGGATTATAGGCGTGAGTCACTGCGTCTGGCAATATCATATTTTAATAAAAAATTACTTTATTATCCAAATAAAAAATTAGTAAGAAGATTGGCATTGTTCTACATTTTTGCAACCCTCTTAATATCTGACTTAATGAGACAGTTTGGAGTCTCATATCTGCTTGTGTAATCTGTTACCATTATCACATTATGGACTGGAAAATTTTACTGGACACTTATGAGAGAACACAGTGAAAAAAGCATATAACATATCATGGAAATGTTTCTACCTCCTGGATCCCCTGAAAAGGCCTTAGGGATTGTCATGAACTTTGAGAACTAGTGTCATAAATCCAAGGGTCCATTCTAACTAGTACTGATATTCTGATCTAGTTTCAGAAATCCTGTTTACCGTTTTGAAGATTCTGATTATTATCAAAGTGCTAACAAGGAATGTGAATTGACTACTACATAGAAAATGTTAAATTCAAAATAAAGGGATGAATAATAGAAAAAATGGAGGCTGGGCATGGTGCCAGGTGGATCATCTGAGCTCATGAGTTCAAGACCAGCTTAAGCCCGAGTGAGAGCCCCCCTCTAAAAATAGCCCAAGGTAAAGATTGCTATGAGCTATGACACCACAGCACTTTAGGGAGGGGGACAAAGTGAGACCCTCTCAAAAAAAAGAAGGGTGGTTTTATTACAATGGCAATTTTTTTTTGCTATATCAATTTATTTTTATTTTTGTTTATACACTGATGCTTTTATGGGGTTCAGTGTACTGATTTGATATACATGTGAAATGCTTACATTGAACTAAGTAACACATCCATCACAATTATATTCTTTTTTTTTTTTTAGACAGAGCCTCAAGCTGTCCCCCTGGGTAGAGTGCCGTGGCATTACAGCTCACAGCAACCTCCAACTCCTGGGCTCAAGCGAGTCTCCTGCCTCCGCCTCCCAAGTAGCTGGGACCACAGGCGCCCGCCACAGCGCCCGGCTATTTTTTGGTTGCAGCCGTCATTGTTGTTTGGCGAGTCCGGGCTGGGGATTCGAACCCGCCACCTTAGGTGTACGTGGCTGGCGCCTTAGCCGGTTGAGCTATAGGCGCCGAGCCCACAATTATATTCTTAATAGTTTTGAAATGTTCCACTGTATCATGCACATTAGGTGGGGTCCCCCCAAATACCCTTACTCTTCCCACCCCTCCGCTCCCCTCCCCTTTCTTCTTCCCTTCTACTTTCTGGACTATAGTTATGTTTTACCATTCATATGCATGTGTAGGTGATTATATATTGATTTCCTAGCAGTATTGAGTACATTGGATACTTTTTTCCCATTCTTGAGATACTTTACTAAGAAGAGTATGTTCCAGCTCTATCCAGGTAAACATAAAAGATGTGAAGTCTCCACCTTTTTTATGGCTGCATAGTATTCCATGGTATACATATACCACAATTTGTTAATCCATTCATGGGTTGATGGGCACTTGGGCTGTTTACAAAGTCAATTGTAATAAGTAAGTTAAATCTATGTATATGCCAACCTCAAAAGGTACTTTTACTATAGAAATTGTCACTTGCCTTGCAATTACTTGTTTACGTCTCTCTCCTTTTAAGCTGTGAGCTTTGGAAGAAGGAAATGAGTCTTAATCCATTTTGTATTTTCAGCGTCTAGGATGTCTAACACACAAAAGGCATTGAATATTTGTAGGATAAATGAATTGAAATACATAAAGTGCACAAAGCCTATATATCCTGTCACACTTTGTACGATACATAGCAAGCTGTTTAATCAACTCCCAACAACTTCATTAAATTGCCATTATCAATTTATCAACAAAACAGCAATCTGTATACTTTAATGTGCCTTTATTATTTCCTAACCATTTCCCCCACGACGTAGGTTAAAATGCTTTTTGACAAGTACATGCAACCTGATAACATTCTCAACGACAGAAATAAAATGCCATGACTAAGCCATTTAGATTTGAGGCTTAAAACGCCCTCGGAGGGGTCGGAGAGGCACAGAGCTGCCCTCCACGTTGAAAGTGGGCAGGCTCCACGCATCCATTTTACCCGTACTCACACCCGGCACTCAGATGTTGCATAGTGTCTGCTACATCATGCACAGACATCCCAAATCCGGAGAATCTCTGTACAACGTGTTCCGCTTCTCTTGCCAGGGACAGGGCGGTAACACTAACTGGTCCAGTTATGATGGAACTCAGCATCCTCCTGGCGTAAAGAGGATCGTTCTGAGAAGCGGCGGGTCGGGAGGGATCTGACTAAACCTTGGGTCGACCCAGAGTCGCGACCTAAAGGGTGTGGCAGGGGAGGGATCCGCCCGGAGGAACGACTCACAGGGTTCGGGAAGCTGAAAACCCCTTGAGAAGACCGGAAAGGGGCCAAGACCTTCCGGTTGCCTCAGCCCGCAACTCACCCCGTACCCCGCAGCCCTACAGCTCGGGTGATTTGGCGCACGCGAGGACCGGGCCAAAGGGCGGGGATGGAACAGAAAGGCCAGCTTTCGGACCGCTTGATCCACTAGGAAAAAACCTGGACTCGCCCACAGCCCCAGTCCGGGGCCTTACAGTGGCCACCGCACACGAAGCCCCACCCAGCGGCGCTGGCGTCAGGGGCGGGGACGCTGAGCTGGCCGGAGCGGATTCGCCCAGTTTGGCCGGGGGCGTGGCCGGGCAACCCAGCCACTACGCGCCTCGCCGGCGTCTCCCCGCCCCTGCGCTCTGGAGCAAACTGGGGCCGGGCTCTGGGCCTGGTGTAGCGAGAGGGGGAGCCGGGAACCCACTGAGGGCAGAGTCCGGGCGGCCCTGGCGGCGGGGCGATGAAGCCTCCGCCTTCTCGGGCAGAAGCCTTTAAATACGGGCTCAGGCCCGGGACTCGGAGTTTGGCGTTTGGCAGCCTGAGGGAGGGGCGTGCAGTGCGAGGAGGTACGGCGGAGCAGGGCGTGGGTGCAGAAGCTGCGGCAGCGCGGCCCGCAGGACGGTGCTGTCCGAGCGTTCGGGATATAAGCAGCCGCTCCGCTGGGTGCTTGAAGCGGGTAAAAGCAGCCGCTCCGCTCGGTCCTTGAAGCAGGTAAGAGTCTCTCCCGGGCTGCCCCCGTCGCGCGGTGGGGATGCTCCTGGGTCCCGGCGGGATGTGGAGGGAGCGGGGTCGGGAGCTGCGCGCTCGGGTTGCTCCCAGTGCTCGGTCCCGGGCTTCCCTCCCTCTTTGGGGCTCAGAGCGGGAATCACGTTTTGGATTTGCTGCGCTAGGAATGGGGTAGTGTGAGCTTTTTAGTAAAGACTCGTAAGTGTTCAAGCCCTTTCTCTTTCTGCTTTTATCAACGTTCTGACTTGGAACAAATGAGATTTCCCCTCTGTTTCAGAAAGCCGAATGCCCACCGAAGGATGCGGTTCTTTGGTTAGGGACCGCATTTTGGTCTCAGACTCGCAGGCTTTTGTCTTTAAAGCGTCTGCCCACTTAGGGGACTGCTGTATTTTACGGCCTCCCCTCTTATGAAACCAAAGAGAAAACGAAGCTAGAAAGCCTCTTTGAGCGCGAAATGCTGAGGCTATTGTGGTATTTGTCTGGCCACCACACCATAGAAGGGCTCTGTTTGATGCTAGGAAGGCCTTTCTTGGGTGCTTGGGGGACCATGTTTGTATGAAATCTTGAAAAACTGTGTGTCCTATTTGTAGGAAGATAATCTGGTAGGGTAGGGAATTCTGATGTACGTGAAAGGGTTTTCATAGATGTACAGAGAAGTAGCTGTCTATTTGACTGACCTCAAGGACACAGTGAGTCTTTGAATTTCTCAGAACAGTAGCCTGGTCTGTTTCATCAGGGGTTCTGCAAATGAAAGAGCTGACTGTCCGCTCTGAGATGGGCTCCTTAGTACCCAGCATCTACTTTAAGGTAAACACTAGACAACCCCAGTTGAAAGGATCTCATTTCTTCTCTTATTGCTGCACCCCTTTTTCTAACTCTCTCTGTCGTCCTATTATTTCTCCAGCCTTCCATGATGGTCTTTAAATATAAATTAAATACCAGCTTTCTTACTGATTAAGCATTTTCCCCTCTAAGTCAGGTTTTTTCTTTCTTTTTTTGAGACCGAGCTCACTCTTTCACTCTGGGTAGAGTGCCTTGGCATCATAGCTTACAGCAACCTCAAACTTTTGGGCTTGAGCAGTCCTCTTGCCTCAGCCTCCCAAGGAGCTAGGACTTCAGGTGCCTGCCACATCACAGGCTAATTTTTCTATTTATTTATTTATTTTTTTTTTTTTGAGACAGAGCCTCAAGCTGTCCCCCTGGGTAGAGTGCCGTGGCATTACAGCTCACAGCAACCTCCAACTCCTGGGCTCAAGCGAGTCTCCTGCCTCAGCCTCCCAAGTAGCTGGGACCACAGGCGCCCGCCACAACACCCGGCTATTTTTTGGTTGCAGCCGTCATTGTTGTTTGGCGGGTCCGGGCTGGGGATTCGAACCCGCCACCTTAGGTGTACGTGGCTGGCGCCTTAGCCGGTTGAGCTACAGGCGCCGAGCCTAATTTTTCTATTTAAGTAGAGATGAGGTCTGGCTCTTGCTCAGGCTGGTCTTTGAATTCCTGAGCTCAAGCAGTCCACCCACCTTGGCCTCCCATAGTGCTATGATTACAGGCATGAGCCACACAGTCCCACCTTGGTCAGGCATCTTGTAGTATTTAATTTATGGTAATGACCAAGAGGATATGTGAAGTTATGTATCCATCCATGATGTCTATTGTTTAGCTCCTGGGAACCTATGCAGAATATGCTGAAGAGGAGTTGGGTGGAAGGATTATATTGTTTAGATTGTTGTAAGGCATTCCTTATTTTTTAGTGATATCTTTCTAAGTTGAAATGGTTTTTAAATTTTTTGAAATTTTACATGAAGAGTACTTTTGGAATGATTTGGTTTGTTGTGACTCTCCCAAATACAGATGTAAAAAAACTCATTTCAGAATAATCTATAAAGAAACACTCACTCCCATTTCTTTGATAGCACAGTAGAGGGCTAGAAGTTTCATAAAACAGAGACAGAATTGGAAGATGTATATGTCATGCCAAGTGTATCACTAACACTGTATCAAACTCCATTTTAAAGTTTATTAAGGATTTTACTGTATCTTCCAGTGACTATTTATTTGGAATTCCAAAGATGACACATACAGCTTCAGTAATTTTCCCTTTTTTTTTTTTAGAGACAGAGTTTCACTTTGTTGCCCTTAGTAGAGTGCCTTGACATTATAGCTCACAGCAACCTCCAGCTCTTGGGCTTAGGTGATTCTCTTGCCTCAGCCTCCCGAGTAGCTAGGACTACAGGCACCTGCCAGAACGCCCACCTATTTTTTTGTTTCAGTTTGGCTGGAGCCAAGTTCGAACCCTCCACCCTTGGTATATGGGGCTGGTGTCCTACTCACTGAGCCACAGGTGCTGCCCAATTTTCCCATTTTCACCTATAAGCCATACTTGAGATATGAAAGTATGGGCAGGGATACCCAAAATGAAGTCCTAAACACATCTAGTTCTATAATATAGGTCCTCCTGACAGGAGTAGTCCACCCCAGCTGATGTAGAACAAGCTGAAATATGTCTCAAAATCAAGGTGGATAAGAAGTTATTCTTGGGAAACATGCTAAAGTTCTTTAGGTAGCTTAAGAAAAGAACATGATGGCTCGGCGCCTGTGGCTCAAGTGGCTAAGGCGCCAGCCACATACACCTAACGTGGCAGGTTCAAATCCAGCCCGGGCCTGCCAAACAACGACAGCTGCAACCAAAAAAAAAAAAAAAAAAAAAAAAAAAATAGCCGGCATTGTAGCGGGTGCCTGTGGTCTCAGCTACTTGGGAGGCTGAGGCAGGAGACTCGCTTGAGCCCAGGAGTTGGAGATTGCTGTGAGCTGTGATGCCACAGCACTCTGCCCAGGGGGACAGCTTGAGGCTCTGTCTCAAAAAAAAGGAAAAGAACATGATAAAATCATTGCAAAACTACTATGATCAGGCTGGGCTTGGTGGCTCATGCCTGTAATCCTAGCACTTTGGGATGCTGAGATGGGTGGACTGCTTGAGTTTAGGAGTTTGACTTCAGCCTGAGCAAGAGTGAGACCCCATCTCTACTATAAATAGAAAAATTAGCCATGTGTGGTGGCACCTGTAGTCTCAGCTACTTGGGAGGCTGAGGCATGAGGATGGATTGAGTCTAAGAATTTGAGGTTGCTGTGAGGTATGATGATGCCACAGCACTCTACTCAGGGCAACAGAATAGTAGTTTTTTTGGTGTCTCCCCCACCCAAAAAAACTATGATCAGCCACCTGAACTAGAGATAATTACACAGAAGTTTTCACCTCAAAAAGAGAGGCCCGTGAGAATTATTAAATTAGTATTTATAAGAGGCTGCTGTTCTAGGTCTTGAGGTCTAGCATTGAGCAGCAGCAAGAAAGGACTATTAGCCTGGCTGTGCCTTGTTAAACTACGAACTCTTTAAGCCCAAGAGGAGCTACCTCAAGTGGACATTGAATCTATGTTTATTAAATGAATGTTAGCAGAACCCAGTTGAGATTGAGGGTGTAGGTTGCCCTGACAGCCCGAATAATCTCTTGGCTATGGGATTTAAGTGGTAACCCTGAGAGATCCTCTGGTCCAACATTACTTTGAAATTCTAATTTTTAGGTATTCTAGATATACTGGTTTTAATTAAGCAAAAAAAAAAAAGCCAAGTATTGATGGCATACATGGTATTCTATCTCTTCAATTTAGAAAGATTGTAACTTGTAGCTGGGAGAATACACAAAAAATACTTTGTAAAAGCAAAGTAGAGGGTAGCAAAGTAGAGACAGAAGGGGCAGGAGTGGAACTTCTTGTGTGTGCGTTATTATAACATTACATTTTGAACTATGTGAGTGTATTACCTACTCAAAATAAAGTTTTAAACATTTCTTTCATATTGATAAGAATATTGCTTTCTTTAAAAGAATCATATGATTGCAAATTCTGTCCGTTTTCACTATTTACTGAAATCCTCATTCTTTTTTTAGGTTTTTTTTTTTTTTTTTGAGACAGTGTCTCACTATGTCACTCTCAATACTGTGCTATGACGTCACAGCTCACAGCAACCTCCAACTCTTGTGCTTAAGCTATTCTCTTGCCAAAGCCTCCCAAGTAGCTGTGACTACAGGTGCCCACCATAATGCCCAGCTATTTTTTTTTTCTTTTTTTTGGTTATAGTTGTCGTTGTTTGGCAGGCCAGGGCTGGATTGAAACCTGCCAGCGGTATGTGGCTAGAGCCTTAGGTGCTGAGCTATAGGTGCTGAGCCTGTAGTTT